CCGGCCCGGGCGGCGCGGGCACCGGGAGCCGGCCCGGGCGGCGCGGGCACCGGGAGCCGGCCCGGGCGGCGCGGGCACCGGGAGCCGGCCCGGGCAGCCGGCCGTGAGCAGCAGCGGCGGCGGAGCCGGCGGGTGACGCAGCCGGGGCGTCCCGGGGGAGCCCGGCCCGAGCCGGCGCTGCGGCGGCGGCGGGGCTCTCAGCCAGCTCATCCCCGCCGTGTTTGCTCGCAGCTCCCAGGGGACCGGCGGGCAGGATGGGGGGCACCCGAGGGTCCTGGCCCCCCGGCAGGGGCTGTGGGCGGGGGGCAGAGCCGCACTCACAGGGCCCAGGGCTCAAAGCCTCAAAGCCCGCGTTGCATTCGGGCTCTGGGGTCTCAGCCCCTTGCCTGAGGCCCTGGGGGCACTGCTGGCTTGGCGGGGCAGGGGCTGTGCTGGGCTAGACCTTGTGGGGCCGGTGCAGAGCTGCTCTGAGGCAGCCCTCGCCTCCACCCCAGGCACACAGCACACGGGAGAACACGTCCTCACACATTTTTAATGTTGGAGAGGGGCAGCGCCCATCTGGGGAATTACAGAAGGGATGGAGCTCTCCTGAGAGTGCCAGGGATGGCCACAGCCACGGCAGGGGGTGACAGGGACAGCCAGAGCTGAGGGTATGGCAGCCTTACCCCACGACTTCAGTGCTGACCTGTGCAGAAAAGCAGCCTCAGCCCTGGGAGCCCGGAACCCCTTTCCCACTCCCTGCAGCAGGGAGACAGGCATGCCCTGGGGGGAGCCTGAGGTGTGACCTGCCCCTCCACACCCTCATCCCCACTCCCAGCAGGTCTCCTCTGCCCCACGGCACCCCATGGCCGTGCCCATCTCACTCCCATGAGGTCTCACCATGGGGAGAGCTCGCTGGCTTCTGCCTCGGCCCCACATCTGCAGCGGGAGAGAGGGAGCGAGAATGAGGCAAGGATGCCCCAGCACCCTAAAGGACACGTGCTGCCACACGGAGACCACGGCACAGCCGAAGGCTGGCACTGGACACAGCCCTGGGCAGTCAGGGCAGGCACTCACCTTCAGCAGCTTCGGGCACCTCCAGACTGTCCAGCCGGTCCTCGTCTGCTGCAGCCTCACTGCCGTCCCCAGGTCCATCCCCCTCATCCTCACCCAGGGGCTCTGTGGGCAGGGGACAGCTCAGGTGGGACCTTCCCTCCCTCCCTCCTGCATCATGGGGATACACTAGGGCATGCAGGAGGGAGGTAATGGAGCAGGACGCTCCAGGATGGACGTTCCTAGGAGGAATGTGACCAGCCCAGTGTGGGAACCAGGGAGAGCCTGGGCAGGACTGACCCTCCAGGGCCCCTGGGTGGAGCTACAGGTGAAGGTCACATCCCCAGTCCTGCGTGGGATTCCCACACAGGGCATGTGGTGAGGGGGGCTCCGCCTGGGGCTCTGGGCACCCCAGGCAGTCCCAGCACCCCCTTGGGACAGCAGCAGTTTCCCCAGTGCAGGCACCTGTCTGGAACTCGATGGTCCTCAGCATCTCAGCCACATAGTCCACGTTGATGGAGAAGTGGTCCATGTTCTCATAGCCAGGCTCAGGGCGGCTGCTCATTGATGCCTTGGACATGTCTGTGATCCTGCAGGGCAGAGACACCCTGGGAGCTGCAGGGTCCAGCACCCAGAGGGCCACCAGCCAAAGGTCTTTTCCCTCCATAGTCCCCACTCACTTTTTCAGGAGTTCCTTGGAGTGCTGTGAAGGAAAACGAGGCGGGATCAGTGTCTTCTAGACATCACCCCCACCACAGGTGGGGCACATCCAGGGGCATCCACAGATCCTTTTGGGTGAGCACAGCCCCCCGTTTAGACCTGTGAGCAGCCCCATGCCCCTCAGGGAACACCATGGCAGCACCACACAGCCCCCCTGTCCCTTCTCTCCCTGCTCCCCTGGCAGGACCTGCAGGTACAGGGCCATCTGGGGCTCCTCCATGGCCTGGATGGCTGACTCCACCAGCTTGGAGGAGGCCTCCAGGTGGTCTCCGTACTGGCGGATGAGCCCACGGACTCGCTGCAGCTTGGCCTCCTGCTCGGCTGCGATGCTCTGCAGCAGCTCCTTCTTGCGCTCCTCCAGGATCCCGTAGAGCGCGTCAAACCGCAGCCCCACGTGCTGCTTCTGCCGCCGGCCGTTCTCCTGCGGACAGAGCCAGGGCTGCGCCGTGTCCCCCCAGCACAGCCCCAGGGCTGGACACTGCCAGCGCACTGCCCCGCTGCCACAGCCCCGGGCCGGAACCCTCGGTCCCAACCTCGATGGTGTGGCAGATCTCCTCCATCTGTGTGATGATGGCCTGGATCCGGTCATTCCCCGCCACCAGCATGGCAATGCCATCGCTGAGCTCGCTCTGGCAGGAGAGGGGCTGGGTGTGAGGGTGGCTGTGCAGGCACTCTCAGCCCCCCGAGACCCCAGGGTCCCCCCACCTTCTGGCGCTGGTAGACGGCCGGCAGCGGGGCCACCTCGCAGTCCTTGTGCGCCCCGAACACCTTGCAGAGGGAGCAGGTGGGCACCTCACAGCGCAGGCAGTAGATGTTGATCCGCTCGTCCTCGTGCTCCTCGCACATCAGGTGCTGCTCAGCCTTGGCATGAAGGGGTCTACATGGCGGTTTGGGGTATCAGGTAGACACCTTGGCCCCAGAGGCACCCCAGCTTCAGAGACAGCACCAGCCCCGGGATCTGCCCAGCCCTCAAGACACCTCTGGCTCCCAGGGACCCTTCAGCTGCAGGGACACTGCTGGCAGCAGAAATACCGCTGGCCCTGGAGAGACCCGCAGCCCCAGGGATATTCCCTGGCCCTATATGGACCCCATGGCTCCCCAGTTCCTGCTGGGATCCCACCCCGAGCCCTCTCGCTGGGCTTGCTGTCACCCGCAGGTCTCGCCCTGCCCGCCCCGGGGTCCCCACGCCTCCGGACCGGGCCGACTCCTGCTTGTAGATGTCGATGATGTTCTCCACGAGCAGGTTCCGCTGCAATCCGTACACCCCGTGCCGGTCCAGCACCACCTCGTGCCGGCAGGACGGGCACCGGAACCGCCCGCCCGACGGCACCGCGCTGGAGCCCCGCGACTGCCACAGAGGGTTGGAGGCCTGGGGGGGTACGCGAGGGGTCACGGCGGCGGCACCCCGCACCCCCGGCACCTCCCAGCCCCGCGGATCTGCACCCCACAGCCCCCGGGACGCGCCCGGGCACGGAAACAGAGGCGGAGACGGGCAGGAGCACGGACAGGACACGGGTGTGGAGACAAACAAGGACTCCTACACGGGCTCTGCTTCCCGTTCACCGTCTCCGCCGGCCGAGAGTGGCACCGGGCACAGCCCAGCCGGGATTGCCGGTGCCGGTGTCAGACCAGGCCCCTCTGCGAAGAGGATCCCGGTGCTCTGGTGCCGCCCGCCCCTCCGCCTCGCTGGCCGGGGATCCCGGGATAACGGGGCCACCACCCGCCGGACTGGGGTCCTAGTGCCTAGGTCCCGGTGCCTCCCCGCGCCCCACCGGCGGGTCCCACCTGGAAGACGTCGTTGGCGCACTTGCGGCAGAGGTTGTGCTGGCAGGGCAGGATGACCACGGGCTTGGAGAACATCTCCAGGCAGATGGGGCAGATGAGCTGCTTCTCCAGGCTCTCCATGCTCCGCGCCTCCGCCAGAAGCGGCTTCAGCCCTACCGCGAAGTTCATGGCTGCGGTCCCGACCCGGCCCGGCCCGACCCGGCTCTGTCTCGCGGCTCCGCTCCGGCCGCCCGGTGCCCGCTTTGTTTCGGCCCCGGCCCCGGCCCCCGGCGCTAATTTTAGCCGCCCCCGCCCCGCCGGGGCCGCAGCTGTCGGCGGCGTCGGGTGACACTGAGTCACCGCTCCTGCCCACCCTAGGGACCGGCTGGTCCCGGGACCCGCTGCGCTTCGGGACCCGCTGATCCCCTGCCCGGGAGGAGGAGCGGCCGAGGCTCCGGGGACCGGGCCTGGCTGGTGCAGGGGTGCAGGGCTGGCAGTCATGCTGAGGAGTATGTGTCCCCCAGCAGGGCTGGGGGAGGTTGGGGTCCCGCAGTGCCAGCCCCTCCGAAGAGCAGGGTGGAGGGGCTGGAGCCAGGACACCCCCATCCTCACTCACCCTGGCACCCTGGCTATATTTAGGGAGTGAGGCAGAGCCCATGCAGCTGCGGGCAGTGGCAGTGACCAGACATGGGAAGAAAGTGCAAGCGGCTCACAGTGTCCCCCTCGGTCCCATCCCTGCCAGTCCTAGCCCTCCGCAGGAGAGCGGGGCAGGAGCAGGGGCAGTGCCGGCAGGGGGGAGCAGGGCTCCAGGATGGCAGCAGCAAGGAGAGGGAAGAGCAGAGCCTGCGGGAGCCAGCAGCAGGGGACAGAGCGGGACCCAGGTGGGTGACAGGAGACCAGTGACATTCACTACACTAGACATGACCATTCCACACAGGACGTGACCTGCCTACTGCACACCCCAGTTAGTCCCCACAGCACCCTGCAGGATCCATGGGCACAGCCCCCAGCATGGACAACACCAGGCAGAGGCACATCCTACCACCGACGGACAGAACCCAGGCACACACACTCCCCTCCCGTCGGCCTTTAATGGTGCCCACAAAAACCTAGACAAACCCAGAGGGCAGAGGAAAGGGGCACAGACAGGAGCACCCCAACTCCACAGCAGCGTTTGGCACCCAGCACCCAGTGGGAGGGCTGCAGGGGGGCAGCGGGCTCAGCCCAGCCCCAGAGGTTACAGTGCTAATGGTCTCGGACGCGCTTGGCTCCCTGCAGAGCTCGGCCCGGAGCGTCCCTGCTCGTGCCTGCTGCTTGCTGCCCGGCCTGGGCACCGGCAAGGCACTCAAGGGGGCCATGGCAGCACGGGCTCCAGGCCACTGCCACCACCAGTGCTGGGGCATTGCCCTGGAGCTCGAGCAGGGGCCCAGGAGCCTGTGCATTGATGCTGGCCAAATTAACCTGAGATTATATCCCTCCCGAGGCTGATGAGCCAGTCTGGGGGGTGGGACCGTGGTCCCAGAAAGTGACAGTCCCAAAGGAGAATCCCTGCCCCGAGTCCTCAGGGAGCCGGCGGGATGGGGCCAGCCTCAGGCATCACTCCTGGTGCTGGCTGGCAGTGGGTCCGTGCTGGCAGGCGCGGGCTGTGCTATAACAGGGATCTGAGGATCTGGAAAGGAAGAGCTGCAGATCAGTGGCTCAGCCCCATCCTGTGGTGCCAGTGAGCAGGAATCTCACAACACTGCCTCAAGGGCCCCCACAGCCCAAAGCCCCCATACCCCTGCCCAGTGCAGAGGGCCATGGGAGTGCCCCGACCCCAAGGAAACCTGCAGGAGTCACCCAGCCCCACTGACACCAGTATGGCTGGTGCCAGGGAACAGCTGGCCTGGAGCACAGCTGCTCTTCCCGTGCTCTGTGTCCCAAAGGGCACAGGCCCCAGGGTCTCTAAGCTTCAGGCCTGTTCAGGGGGCCTGTGTCCAGAGGGAAGGAGAAGGTGTACCCATGGCCCGTGCAATGTCTGCCTGGCACTGTCACTGCCACCAGCCCTGACCCACACAGGAAACACCAAGGGCTGGCTGTAAGAGCTGTGACTAAAACCAACCCAACATCTGAGCCAGAACTCTGTCCCCCACACAAGATGGAATAAGGGGAGATCCCAGAGCCCCCACCAAGCAAACACAGGTGCTCCTAGCCACTGGCTCCCGCCTGACTTACCGCTGTCCTCTGCACACATCTGTGCCTCCAGGTCCTTGGGGTCCACATACTTGTAGGACTCATCCTCCTTGGGCGGGCAGCACGTCCCACAGCAGAAGAAGCAACAGCAGCAGCAGCAGCAGCAGGTGAGGGCTCCACAGCACAGCACCAGTGCCTGTGTCAGGGACAAACGTGCTGTGAGCTCACCCAAGTCCCTGACCCATCACAGCAGGGCTAAGACCCCACTCAAGCCACCAGCCTGCCAAACCGCTGAGCCAGTGACCCGCCAGCCCCGTCACGCCAGCCCCACGGACACCGGACGATGCCGGGCTCACCTTGAACCACCACTTGGACATGAGGAAGTAGTGCCGGACGGCATCGTCGCCGAACTGCTCGGCCACGTAGAGGCCGAGGGAGCCGTACTGGTCATACAGGCGGCGCTTGTCCGCGTCGCTCAGCGTGGCGTGGGCGCTGTTGATCTCCTTGAACCGCTCGGCTGCCGCCGGGTCATCGGGGTTCTTGTCCGGATGGTACTTGAGAGCCAGCTTCCTGTGGGGTGAACCGGGGACCCCCGGCATGGGCTCACAGCCTCGCTCCCCGGGACAGCCCACGGCCCCGGCAGGGACCCAGGACCCCCGGCACGGGTTACAGCCTCGCTTCCCGGAACCGACCCTGACCGCCGGGACGGCACCGGGACCATCCGGACGAGATCCCGGCCGCGCTCGCGGGACGGACCCTCACGCCCGGGCTCCCAGGGACCGCGCGGACCCCCCCGTACCGATAGGCCTTCTTGATCTCCTCGGGGGAGCTGCCCTTCTGCAGCCCCAGCACGCGGTACAGGCTCTCCCCGACCCGGGACAGCTTCCGCTGCGGCCGCGGGGGCTCCGCCATGGCCGCGCCGAGGGTCGCGGGGTCGGACGGGACGCGGCACCGACCGCCACGGCCCCGCCCCGCCGCCGCTTCCGCCCGCGCCGCCGCCGCTCTGCGCAGGCGCCGCCCGCGACCCGGTACAGGGCACGGCCCGCCCGGTGACACCGGTACAGGGCACGGCCCGCCCGGTACAGGGCACGGCCCGCCCGGTGACACCGGTACAGGGCA